TTATAGTCGGATTCATATTTTCGATAATTTTGACTTTATCAGAAATTTTTCTCGATAATAACTGTTTATCGTAGAACACTCATCTTTTTTTATATGATAGAAAATTAAATTTTCTTTTCAACGGTACCAAATATAAGAGATTATCACCAACAAGTCCGGAGTTAAAAATTCAACTTTAAAATTGAATTTTTTGACGTTTTTTACATTTCTATAGGTCTTAAAGACTCAAAAAAGTGCACATAATTTCATTGGGTGAAGTTTAAAAAAATTACGAATTTTTCGAGTTTTTGAATGTGTTTTTTTTACTACCGTAAAATCGTAAAATAGTCAATTTACCTTAAGTCGTAAAAACGCTTGAAATATGATTTTGTAAACGTAAAATTACGCGTTGAACACGATGCAACAAGTTAAAATACTCTACGATGCATAGTTGTTGAGAGTTGTTGAGTAATAAAATTAAGAATATAGCAAGAAGCATAACCGATTCTGACCGAAAAATTAAAAATTCTTATAAAAAAAAAATTACCTACTATATATAAAATTAACCGGAGTATACAACCGTTTTGACTTAGGACTCACAGTTTTTGAGCGACTTCGAGTTTGCGCCATTAAATAGATAATTTAAAGCATTCTGACAGTTTTTTAATTTTTAAACGCCGATTACGGCAAAACTATATGAGATAGCGCAAAATGCTTAAGAAATTTATAATAAGCGCGTCAAAATCTATTGCATAAAGCGAATCTGATGAGACAAGTTCAAAAACACTATTTTTTAAGGGGAGGTGTTAACAAATTTTTACTTTTTCTTATTTTGTAAATTGCGGCAAAACTGTACCTCAGTGATGTAATATTTTGTAAGCGTATGTAAAATGTTTCGGGGAATCGATTGGCGTCAAGAAAATTTTAAAATTCGTAGTAGTTTAGAAGTTATAGTCGATTTTATATTTTCAATATTTTGCCATTTTCTCGATAATTGTTTATCGTAGAACATATAACTTTTTTGCGTATGATAGAATATTAAATTTGCTTTTCAACGAACCTAAATACAACCGGCTAGCGACAATAATTCCGGAGTTATTAGCAATAGACGGCTCCGGGTACCAAAAATCGACCAAAATTTCGACATAAATAACTTTAACTTTAAAATTGATCCATTTAACGCTTTTTACAGTTCTAGAAGTCCAAGAGACTTAAAAAGTCCATAAAGCGTTATTGGATCAAATTTGAAAAATGAGTTCGGGCGAGAATTGTAAAAATGACCGTTGAACATAATACAACGGGTTAAAATATTCTACGACGAGTAGTTTTTGAGATATTTAACTATTTCAAGCGTTTCCAATCTTTTAAAAATTGATAAAATTTTAAGGCGTCTATGGCCGAAACTAATTTTCCGATTTACTTCGGGTTTTTACTGTTCAATAGATAATTAAAAGCAGATTCTGACGATTTTTTGATTTTAGTTTTACGTGCTATAGTTTCCGAGAAAAACGCACTTAAATTAAAAAAAAAATTCAAGTCTTTTTCAATTTTTTGAGTTTTTAAAAATGAGTTCTGCCGAAAATTGTAAAAATGATCAATCAACTTAAAATACGCTTTTTTTTAGACATAAAATCACTCGTTGAACACAATACAATCGGTTAAAGTGCTCTACGAGTAGTTTTGAGATATTTAACCATTCCAAGCGTTTCCAGTCTCTTAAAAACTAATAAAATTATAAGGCGTCWATGGCCGAAACTAATTTTCCGATGTACTTCGGGTTTCTACTATTCAATAGATAATTGAAAGCAGAATCTGACGATTTTTTGATTTTTGTTCTACGTGCTATAGTTTCCGAAAAAAACGCACCTAAATTAAAAAAAAAAAATTTCAAGCTATTTTCAATTTTTTGAGTTTTTAAAAATGAATTCCGACGAAA